ACCCTTTCAATTTGGAAAGCACGGGAACCCACAATTACACTTCAACGTGAAAAACAAATTGTGAAACTACAGAAACACAGTTAAAGTTGGCCAGACAACCATTTACTACGCTGTGCACTTACCTTTCCCTTTCGGCTTTTTTTTTAAATTAGGGTCTGTCTTTAACTCATTTTTAATTGCTAACCAGCCATCAGAAATCAGTAATATTTAAACAGTTGGCCGATTTTGGAAACAGCATTGTACACAACTAATTTTCTATGAATAGTGAAAACGAACTAAAGAATAAAGAATTTAAATGTGTCTCAATATAACCCACCATCAGTATGTTAACTTTAGCTTTTACCCTGTGAGTACCCTCCAACAGCGAGGACTAAAGGCTTGCTTGTACTAAGAAGATTTCAGCTATGCAATAGAATTTTAAAAACAGGCTTACAGGTTGCTTAAATGTTTTCCTTTATCTGGCTTATTTATAAAACTTGTGCAAATCTCATTAAAACTGATTTCAGTTATATAATCTGATCTGTGTGTGTACTGACCTGTTGAAGTTAAACAAATGAAAAAATTCACATTAGGCTGTCAATTTTAGAGGTTAGCACAAATACAATTAGACCAATTTAAACCTGATATAAGGGATTAGAATCTCCAGTTAATCCAACCCTATTCCTTATTACATTCATTTGGAAGTATTTGCCTTTTATAATTTTTTATTTAGGATCAGCTCAAATGCCAAAATATATAATTCTGTGCTTTATACATACTTAGGAAACAAAATAGGAGTCTCCATTTCTGTAGAGCCTGACCTAGTGCTAGGGAGGTTAAGAGCAAGACATTACTGTAGGAAGTGTTCTTGGTTTTATTTAACTGCTGCAATCGTATTATTACCCAGTAGTAAGTCTGTGTCTACATTTCTTTTGTAAACCAGAAGTAATTTTAGGGCTGTTTAGGCGTTTTTCTACGCTCTACCAAGTTCTCCACACACTGAAATCACTGGTCACTGAAAGTGACCTTCTCTGTAAGAAACTTGATCTGACAGATATCAAGTGACCTGAAAAGATCTTTCAGCAGTTTGGTCAGGATAACATTAATAACCTAGCCCACAGGAGAATATTATGTACCAAAGCCCATGTGAATTTGAGGAAGGTGGACTGCAAAGAAACTGACATGCGCCCAACATTGTCCACCAAACAGTAAATTAATGAATTCCAGCTGACTACCTCTGCAGAACCATGAGCTGTCAGGTGGGAAGACTCTTCACCAACTTCCTCAGAAAGCTGCAATTCTGTATTTAGCTGTATTTAGCACAACAAAAATGCTGTCAGCATCTTCTTACCCTAGAACTGAAAAATGTAAGAAATTTGTTCTATTATGCTCTTTTATATATCCAAGTACCACAGCAGCAGCAAGTACAGTACCATTAAAACATACCAAGGAATCTATATTCCAATACATACATATAGTATATTGAACCGAAAACCAACTATATATAGCGCTTTGAAACAGTCTGAAGAACTTAAATTTGACATATAGTTTACAGTTCTGGAAAAAGGAATTTTGTTTTACTGTAATCAGCACTTTTATTTGAAATACAAGTCACACGTTCTAAATATATGCTCATCATCATAAGCCACCTCAAACCCCTATGCATTTAGGAGTTATAATGCCCTATCATTAGTTGTTCTAAGCTGATAAAAGACTAATGGAATGCCAAGCCAGCAATTCAACCAATACAAGCTATATGTTTTATAGTTAAGGTTGCTTTATGAGCAATGTCCTGTACAAAAACATCCTCCCTAAAGCTGCCCATAGAACACACTAGTTTCTAAAAATGAGGCTGTGTTGTACAACTATAGACCTGTAACTAAGAAAACTATCTGATGCTGAAACACTGAGCTTCGAAGAAAGAAAAATCTTCAAGAGCCATCAAAGCCTCTCATATCTGACTTTTACCCTCTCAGCGTGGATCAGCAGAATACCCTTTCTTGATGTGAATGAGGTTTTTTTTAAAACATTAATTGCCCTACATATGTCAGTAGTGCAGGCTTGGTAGTCTTCAAAAAAATACCTGGAAGCGTCACAACCTATAGTATTCCTTCTTAGTAAGAATAAACTTTCTCTAATGGGAAGTTACTGCAGGGAAGACAGTTTTTGCTCTATCCCCACCTTATGGCTAGAAAAAGAATTTTCCTATGACAGCATACATATTTCTGAATTTTTTTCCTTTACTACATCACTATAGCCAGAGAATACTTACTACTTGTTATGCAACTTAAGATTCTTCTTTAGCAACCATGCACTCCTCCACATACAAGCACAATGAAACTCCAAGGCACATATGTCCTCTCTAGCACCTGTGTTGATTTTCTGAATCAAACCAGTAGATTTAATGATCCAACGTAACTGTAGATTCGAAGAGAACACTGATTATTTGGGCCCTGACCCACAAGAGTATACAAGTTCATATATTCCTGTTGACTCCATTAGGAGTTAAACATCTGGATCTCTCCGTAGATCTAACCTTCACTGATACACCATTCTTAATATTCACACTTTCAAAAATAGTTTTAAACCTAATAATCAGGTGATTTATACCACTCAGGAAATACTAAGCATACGCACCCTACAAATTAAAACAAAAATATGTACAAATGTAGTTTTAAAGCTTTCACAACTGTCTTCTCCCTTCACTCATCTTACAAGCAAAATGATGTGACCATGAGAGAGAGAATAATGCATACTCCTCACAAGACGACTCACGTTGGCAAACAGCACATCCTCTTTCATCAGTCACTCCACACGAGATGAAATAAAACCAGCAGCCGCGCCACCCCACAAGGGAAAACACTCTCTCCCCTCAGAGTCACCTGCTTATGAATAAACATTTTTCTTCTTCTTTTATGCCTTAATCACTTGTGATACCGCTCACTGCCCCAGGGACTGACATTAGCTACCTAAAAAGCAAAAAACCAAGACAGGGGCCACCAGAAGTACTTTTGCCAAATTCTTCTTAATTCTTTATTTTGACTTTTCCCTCTTTCATTGATGGTCATAGTGAAAGAGCAGGGTAGGATGTGAAAGAGAAGAAAACTGGGAAAGCTACAAAGAAGAAAGAGAACGGAAAAAACTGGGTAATGTCTTCATGTGCCTTTAACTTTTTAGGCCTTCCATCCTGCTTTCCTGAGGAAATGAAGAATCGTAATTGTACGGCCTGAGCATTTCTTCCCCAAATCTCTTGAATCTGACCTTTAAAACCAGAAGAAATTCAAGAGTGAGTCAACAGTCTCAAAGGTTGCTAAACACAGTTTCTCACTGTCTAATGAAAACAGTAGAGTAGAAGAGACACCTTATTAATGCATCAGCCTGACTCTTCCCTCAATAATCCTTGCCTTTTTCCTCCTAACAGCAGGAAAACAGGAACTCAAATAACAGAACCCAACTTCATTAGGCCTTCTACCACAGATCTAGTTTAAAAAGACATTTTCTAGAACAACATGCTTTGATGTTTTGTCATTAAATATTCAATAACAGAAACCAGGTTATTAATATGTCCTCCGAGGTTATATTAATTGGAAATGTTCATGGGTATTTAGACAACCCGGCTGAAAGGAGTTTTGATTATAAAAACAAAGCAAGGAGCACTGGGTAGAGAAGAGACCCTATGTACATACATGAAGGAGTACAGAAGAGCTGCCAGATATTAATATAATTAACCTTATGGTGAACATTCAAGAAAATACTAGAAAAAAAACATAATAGCATTGTATATTTCTGAATGTTTAACTATACTACATCAACCACATTAAAAAAAGGCCTATGGAAAATTAAAGTTTAAGAGAGAAACCTGAATACCTGCCAAAATATTCATGTCTTCTGAATAGCTGCCTGCTTCAACTATTATGAAACATTTGTAAAGTACTGGCAATCTAGTGACAGGACACATTCTGACTCAAAATTCTCAGGGCTTATAGAAAAAAGTCCCTCTCCTATTAAAAAAAGGCACCTTCTCAACCATGAATACAGGCCAAAAATGCTGTATAAGATATTAAAAAAAAAAAAAAAGTACACTGGTGGCTGGTTTAACCCTTCCCAATGGTAGCTGCTCATCCCTCTGCTACATGAGAATGAGAACGTTCCACTAAGCTCAGAGTGGATCTTGCTCCTAGGCAAATCAAAAAAGAAAACGTTTAAGTGGACATCAAAACAAGTTCCAAAAGAAGCTACAAGCACTCAAACAACTGTAAAATGAAGAAAGGTACGTGAATATACAAGACTATAAGAAAGTATTTCAGAGAAAACATTCCTAACAAAGGAAAATCCAGTGTTTCAATAAAATTGTTCAATCTTGGACAGTAATTACAAAGAAAAATATAAATACCTAGAAAATCTCCCTTATTGCTGAGCATGTACTTCAGATGATTAAGTCCAAATATCCTCCACACGCCTATGTTCTCAGCTTCCTTTGGGGATTCCAAAGGATTAAGAGAAGAAAATGCAGAATAAGGGATCTAGTCAACCTTAGAAGCAGACTGAACTAAGCCCTATGAATTAAGTAAAGCAGAAGAGTCATCCTTTCTGCATACTGAAAAAGGATGACTTTTCAGAGGTTGTAGAGGATTTTTAGAAGTACGTGGACACGATAAGAAATTTCTGGTATAAATCTGGATATGAAGTTCTGGCATTGCTCCAGTTTCCTTAAACTACAAAAATATTTATAAAATGCAATTCTTTTTTGTTGAGTTTCTAGAATATACTCAGTAACATGTTAAACAAAATTAGACTACTCAATACATAATGTTTTAAAAAAAATTCTTTATTTTAGGAATAGCTTACTGTGCATATGAAGGATCAGCTACCACATATTCCACAAAACTGTATTATCAGCTCAAACTGTGAAATTCAACTATATCTTTATTAAAGCAAAGTGTTCAGCAACTCTTTAAAAATATCAGATCAGGAGTAGAATATGATTTTAATTTTAAAATATATTTTTATATAATGTACATTTCCAGACTTCTGACAAGTTAGGATGACAGTCAAAAGGGAGGAGGAAGTAGCTTGACACTCATGCCAACTTATCTTCACTATTTGTACAGGATCTAACTTCAAAAACATCAGCTGTGCCAAATCTTTTCTTTTCCATAACGTGCATCTGTCCACACCAACTGAATTCGAGACCACCAACTCATCTCATACATCGCATCAAACAATGTGCCAGCTTAACAGCTCAGAACATGATTTAAAAATACAAAATATGTATTCTTTCCCCAGAACATGGAAGTTTTAGCCTACTTTTCAAAGTAATTTAAAAAATATTAAGACATCTATAAATAAATTGAACCCAAGATATTTAATACACTAGTTTCTACAGTGATTGTTTTGAAAGCCAAGATTTTGTTTAGCTACCTTTCCCCAGAACATGGAAGTTTTAGCCTACTTTACAAAGTAATTTAAAAAAAATTAAGACATCTATAAATAAATTGAAGCCAAGATTTTGTTTAGCTAGTAAATCTGCATAATCTATAATGTATTCAGTGAAACCTGCATTTTTATTACTGTTCTTCTTTAAAAGTTTCACACTTCTAATAATGACATGTTGTACCTGAAAAGTGACTATGGTATAGGTATATTTCTTGCATTATTATGGAAGAAATAAGATACATCAAGCGTCTCTGATGATGAGTGACACACATTTTAAAATTATGCATGAAGTGTATGAAAATATATTGTAAAATTTTTTTTTTTTTTTTAAAGAAACAGCAAGATACTCAGAGTCAGGAGACAGACATCAGTAAAACTAAATACTTCCACAAGTGTAAGAGCTGGCTCACAGGATTGCACATTAGTAAGAAAACACAGAAAAACATGCTTTGAAATTCCAGTGGTCTGTTTTCTAGCCTCTGCTTTTCTTTAAAATAACCTGCAAAAAGAAAAAAGTATATTTATCACTGTTTTTATCACTACAATCCGGGCAGCAGTAAGAGATCCAAAATGCTAGGCTACTCAGACCAAAGGTTCACCCAGCCAAACAATCTGTTTCCAAGAGTAGAGTCATCAAGGGTAAAAGTCTAGGGAAAAGTCTAGAAATAAAGCAAAAGCATGTAGAAAAATGCCATATCAGAAAGTATTTTTTTTAAATAAGAACATTCATAACCAGGAATTCTGTAAAATAAAAGGTTTATTTTAAAAATTAATGCTAAGAAATGGCAATAGCACTCTTAAGCCCTCAGCAGATTCCTTGAAGCTCTTACCCTGTTAGGCCTAGACAGGAGAGGGAAAAAAAAAAAAAAAAAAAAAAAAAGATTTGCAGTTATACAGCTACTATACTCAGTTTTTGTTTGTAATGCCTTATTTCTTTCTATATCAAGAGTGCCCAGACCCTTGGAAGGACATTTTTTGGTTTGGAGTTTAAGTTGAAAAATGAACTTCAAAGCCCAAGTGGGACCATTTAAGTGTTAACATTATTAAAATATAGGCAGTTTCTCCTTTCTTCTCATCTTAAAAAAAATAAATGGAGCACAAAAATGTTCAAATAATGTTAAGATTGCAGTTTAAAAGAAATTATAAATGCATAAGATTCCAACTGTAACATTCACTTGGCTACCCTACACATCCTGTATATGTTTCCGTTACTATAGTAATAGAAAGTATCAATCTAAACATTTCACTAGAGGGAAAAAAAAATACTGAAGATAAACAGAAACCGCAGGACCCAAATATCAGGTAACAGTGAGTTTTGTTACTCCAATTTGCTGAGCAGTAGTAGGTGGTTGAACAGATAACAAATTTAAGAGACTGAGTTCCTTCATGAAACCTAGGTAAAGCAGACATAGTCTAGCCAGTGAAATGAGCTACAAAATACAAAAGCATTTCAGTCATACTTTGATACTACTCTAATTCTTTCGAAAAAG